AGCAGAATGGCAGGGCGCTGGACACGAGGTCTGTGTTTCCTTTCGGCATGTCCTGGCCCTTGAACAACCGGGAGGGCCAGGCGATGGCTGGGACCCCGTGGGAATTGCTGAGCCCCGGGCGCACCTGCCCAAGAGACTCGACCTTCTGTGCTTTGCCCCTCTGCCTGCCTGCCTGCCTGCCTGCCTGCCCCGACCCCCTCCCCTTTGGTGGAGCTCTGCTTTGTTACCCCTGGCGCTGGGAGGAGAGCCAGGCCCTTGGGAGGCTGTCCCAGGCGGAGATTTCTGTATAACCCTGGTGTTTGCACCCTGCAGACAGCTCGGTCACTCAGCAGTGCTGCTTCTTTTCCTGTGAGGGACCAAGCACGGCGGCCCTCTTCGTTCAGCAGCCCGACCAGAGCTTCTTCAGCCCAGGATGAGCCCTCCCAGGCCCCCCCCCGTGTCTTAATTGTTCCCAGATGGTTTATAAATAGCTTCGCTGTGTTGGTTCTGCCAGGAGAGAGGAGGCCCGTCCAGTCCAGCTTCCCTCCTCCGGCCTGGGATGAGACCAGGCGCCTCCCTGGGAGGAGGAGAGTCCCCCAGACCCTCGGCCTCTTTTTCCCCGCTTGAAAAGTACACGCGAGGGCGCGGAGGGAGGCACGGCCAGCGCTCGGCAGGCTCGTTCCCAGCCCTCTGTGACCCACTTCCCATGGAGTGAGGATGGGTGCCTCCTCGACCCCCCTGGGGAGGGATTCCCGATTCTTCTGCCCTCTTCCTCCGGAGCTCTCCCTTCGGCCTGGCTACGGATGGCCAGAAAGTGTTTGCCTAGCAGGGGTGGGGGTGGGCCTTTAGGAAGTCGGGAGCCCCCGGGATGCCCACCCCCTGCACGGGCCACTGGATATCCACCTCTGCTTTGGGAGAGCCCGGCTGTCATCCCCTGCCCCCCCCCAAGGCCTCTGGCTCCACACAGGCAAACCCTCCTCAAGTCCCTGCTTGGCCTTGAAACTCCCTGGGTTTCGCTGTGGACTCATTGCTTTCTCCCAGCCTGGCCTTCCCTGCAGGTCTGTTGTTGAGAGGATGAAGGGAGGTGGGGAGGAGAGGCCTATGGACTGCGTTGGTCACAGTGGAGGAAATGCCCAGCAGAGACGTTTCCAACGGGTTCGTTTCTCGAATAAATAGGCCTGCCTCTCAGAGCGTGAGAACTCTGCTGGCTGAAGACACGTTTTGCCACAGATGTTTCTGAGAAGCCCACAGTTACGATGGAAAGCACAAGACGGGCTTCCTCTGATCTTTGCTCCCAGCTTCGGATGTTCAGAGGTAGACAGCTTCTGAGCCTGGAGGTTTCCCTGCCCTTTTATGACTCACGGGTGTTGAGGAAACCACCCGTCCTCTTTCTTTTCCTGGGAGTCTGTCTCGGGGTGGGGGGGAGGTCTTTCTGGAAAGGCTTGGTCGCATTTCCCCATTTTTCTTTTTACCCTCCTCAAAACCTCTACACAGAGCCCCAGTTTGCAACGGTCCTCTGGCTTCATCCCAATTAATGTGGGTGGTGCAAAACCCAGTATATTTAGCAGAAATCATTTGTTCGTTCTTTAAAACATCTTGAGAGAATTTCCTTTCCTGTGGGAATCGGTCCTACGAGAGGAACCCAGCAGAGAGTCTGGTGGCTCCTTCAGCTCAGCGTGAGCGGTGGCGGCCGGCGGCCCCGTTCCGTCACACGCTTTGGCTGGCCTCCAGAGGAGGGTATTTGAGATGAAGCAAGAGGTCCAGGACGGCTCCTGCCAGGTCAAAGGGGGCAGCAGGAGTGAAGATGCCCGGAGACCCTCGTGGCCTCTTTTCCTTCCGTCACGGGGACAAACTGGATGTCAGAACCCTTTTTTTTTTCCCTCTGGGCTTTCCAAAGTGGGAGCAGCCCCAGGGCTCAGCAGCCGCTCTGCTCCCACCCACCCCCAACCTGACGCTCGCCCGCCCGCCCGCGTCTCCTCCCAAGAAGGGCTGCCCGCGTGGGGCCTGCAGAGGACAGAGGTGACCAGCAGCGGTGAGGCACCTCTCCTCTCCCTCTGTGGTGGAAAAGGTGTTTGGGGCCATGAATTGGGCTTTTGTGTCTCTGTGGGGAGAGGCGGTACCAGCCGGGAAGCACCAAGGGGTTGCTAGGCAACGGGGAAGGCCGCTGCTGGGTGAGAAAGCGGAGGCAATCACGGAGGGAGGAGGAGGAGGAGGAGGAGGAGGCTGAGAAAGTGGAGGCAATCACGGAGGGAGTAGGAGGAGGAGGAGGAGGAAGAGCCCAGGAGCTGGCACGGCCCTGCCCAGGCTCGCCACCAGGGACCCATCCTTGGGGAAGGTGGTTCCGTGGGGGAAAGGGGGCAGAGGAAAGATAAGAACAAAGACAACCCCCCCCCGCAAGCCCCACACGGAGGGTGACAGCATCTGGGCAGTGTTGGCATCCTGTCCTAAGGTGCCACACGCCTCACCCCAGGGTCCTCCCAGGTAGGTTGACTACGATGCCCATCACCCCCTTGCCGGCACAGCCAGCCACAGGGCACTAGGTGAGTCAGCTGAAGGCAGGCTCCTGGAGCCGGTTGCGGCTGAGCACAGCTGCTCCCAGCCCTCGGGAAAGGGAGGTTTTCGAAGTCTCAGGAGTCCCTGGGATGCCCACCTCCTCCGTGGGCCGGCTGGGTTGGGTGGTGGATTCTGGGATGTGTGGTGCAAAAAGTCACTTTTCCATGGTCAGGCCTTGAGAATCCACCAGCCACCATGCCTGCTGGCCGTGCCAACTGGGGTGGCATGGGGACGGCAGCCTGAAGGTTATAGTCCAAAAGAGCCATTTCCCCAGGCTCTGGGCCCCCTCTGTTCCCCACTCCAGCTGTGAGAGAAGCCCCAAAGCGGGCTCACGTTGGCTGACTCAGAGCCTGGCTGGTCTGGCCTGCTCGGACTCCCCAGAAGGGTGGGAGGCCATGCATAGGGCTTCCTTTCTTAGCCGTCCAGATTCTCCAGGGTGCTCAGGGTCAGACTCGGGGCCTCCTGCCCTCCCCACCAGGTACAGGTCTCTAGGGAAGAGTTTGAGCAGCCTTCGAACTCAGCACCCTCTGGAGGTCTCTTAGCTGCTGCAGCAAGACTGGTGCCCAACCTGGCGAGCCAAACTGCCACGTGGGCAGAGCGCAAGAGAGCCCCGTGGCTGGACAGTCACACTCCCGCCTCAGCACGTGCCAGCATCTGCTTTGGCAGAATCCAACCTTTTCCCTGGGTTGAAGATGGATTTCTCCGTGCCAAGACACAGAGGGCCTCC